AAAAATAAGTAAATAAATAAATAAATAAAAAATTTTAAAAACCGAGTTAGGCCAGGCATGGTGACTCACACCTGTAATCCCAACACTTTGGGAGGCAGAGGCAAGAGGACTGTCTGAACCCAAGGGTTTGAGACTAGCCTGGGTAACTTGGCGTGAATTCGTCTCTACAATAAATTTAAAAAATTAGGTGGGCGTGATGGTGCATGCCTGTAATTCCAGGTATTGGAAGTCTGAGGTGGAAGAATCACCTGAACCCAGTAGGTCAAGCCTGCGGTGTGCCATGATCATGCTACTGCACTCCAGTCTATGTTACAGAGACTGTAACTCAAAAACAAACAAACAAACAAACAACTCCACAAAACTGAGTTGAGCAAGAATCATCAGTGGATACTAAAACAAGTGGATGAAAGTTTGCTGAGAAGCAGAATTGTCACACAGTCTGAAGGAAACACCTCCATAGGGTTTTTTTTTTGTTTGTTTTAATGACGAGGATAAAGTGTATCTTTACAGAGAAGCCTGGCAGATGTCAGCTTAGCCAAGAGGTCAAAGTGGAAATCACCAGCAACAGGAGGGGTGCATCATGTGCCTCCTGGAAGGGTACACTGAGGACACACAAAAAAATCTGTGATAGTGCTGCCAAATGCAAAGCTTGAAACGAATCATGAGGAAACACTAGAAAAACCCAAACTGTGAAAGAGTCTACAAATAAGCGGGCCTGCCATCTTCAAAAACAGCAAGGTTATGGGAGACAAAGAAAAGATGAATAACTATGGTGCAGATTAAAGGCAACGAGACAGACACAATAACACAACACAATGTCAGACTGGGGGAAAGGTTCCTTTAAAGGCTGGTATTGGGGCAACTGGCAAAATTTGAATATGGAATGTTTTAGACAAAGAGGAGCAAAACCACTCTCCACATGAGAGTTTGATACAGGGTTCACTTTCTAACTCTAGAAAGCTGATAGTACTTAGTAAAAACTACCTCTGCTGTGCAAGGGGCCCCAGACTAGACACTGTGAACACTGGCAGAGATCCCATCACTGGAGGTCTCCTGCATACAATGCCTCTGGAAACAGACGTGCCTCCTGTGGGGCCCCAGGCTCTACTTCTGTGACTGCTACACCAGGGTCTGAGGTGGGAGGAGCACCAGGCTTCTAAGCAGGGCAGCCGTGCCACCCACCTGCAGCAGCTCTGCTTCCAGGCCCTGAGCCATGCTCTGCCTCTGCTGTCAGGCTGCAGCAGAAGGGAGCCTGATACCACTGGGGCGCCTGTCCTGAGTTCTGAGTGTATCAGATGCAAATGCAGCCCAGGGAATCCTAGAAGGTGGAAATTCGGCTAAGCTTGAGAATGCCCCATGGTAAGCATTGCAGAACAGTTACCAGCTAAGAACAGTATCAATGTTAGACTACCCGAACGTGTCAATCACAAAGAGGTAATTTAACAGAATATCCCTGTACCCCTCAAAATGCATGCTGAATACTTAAGACTGAAAAATCGTGAGGTCCAGGTCCAGAATACAGTGCAAGACACCCTGCAGACCCACTTCCCAGCAAAACCACCCTAACTATTCAATAGAGTATTTAAAAGATGAATTTAAACTTGCTGAAAATTACTCTGAGGGCATACAACAAACATCTCCTTTTTCATTCCTGATTTAAGCAACTTTTTACTTAGTCTAGCTAAAGGTTTGCCAATTTTATTTCTCTTTGCAAATAACTAACTTTTAGTTGATTTTCCCTATTGTTTTTCCTATTCTCTGTCTCTTTTATTTTCACTCTAGTGTTGATTATTTCCTTTGAGTTTTGGTTGGCTCTTTTTATTCTAGTGTCTTTTTTTTTTTTTCGAGTAGGAGTCTCACTGTCACTCAGACTGGAGTGCGGTGGCACACTCATAGCCACCGCAGCCTCGGCCCGCTGGACTCGTGATCCTTCTGCCACAGCCTTCCAAGTAGCTGGAAATACAGGCATGTGCTACCACACCTAGCTCATTTTTTGATTTATCATAGAGACGAGGTCTCACTAAATTGCCCAGGCAATCCTCTCACCTCAGCCTCCCAAAGTGCTGGGATTACAGGCTTGAGCCACCACAAGGAAGACATTATATGACAATATTATGTATAGCATTGAATGTCTTACAGTAAATGATTAGACTGTTGGTCTCAGATCTTTTACTTTTTAAATATAAGCACTTGCAGCTACAAATTTGTCACCGAGTGCTGTGTCACCTACATTAATTCTGGTATTCTGTGTTCTGTTTTCATCCATCTATTGGCTCTTGTAATTTCTTCTTTGACTCAATGGCTATTGGGGAGTGTTTTGTTTCATTTCCACTTATTGGTGTATCTCCTAAATTTCCCTCTGTTATTTACTTTCTAATTTCATTCAACTGTGGGTAGAGTGCATGTTTTACATGAATTCCTGTCAATTAGCTGATAACTGTTTTGTGGCCTTGCACATGATCTATCCCAGAGAATGTTCCGTGTCCTGTTCTGTTTTTGGGTGGAGTGTTTTGTAGATGTCCGTTAGGTCTAGTTGGTTTATAGTGCGGTTCAAGTCTTCTGTTTCCTTGTTGATCTGCCTAGTTTTTCTAGCCTTTGTTGAAAATAGGGTATCAAAGGCTCCAATTTTTATTGTCGAATTGTCTGTGTCTCTCTTTTTTTTTTTGAGTTGGAGTCTCACTCTGTCACCCAGACTGGAGTGCAGTG